CCATTGTATATATGTACCACATCTTTCTAATCCAGTCATCTACTAAAAATATGGAACGCTTCACGAATTTGCGTGTCATCCTTGCGCAGGGGCCATGCTAATCTTCTCTGTATCGTTCCAATTTTAGTATATGTGCTGCCGAAGCGAGCACACCTCCTACATATTTTTATTATATTTATTTGCTTCATGTCATTGTTCATTTTTGTGTAAAGTTTAAGTTCTCCCGGGATGTGTAATCCCCATAAAATTCCTACCACCAAATCACCTGTGAACTGACCCCATAGTCTTTATTGAGAACTTACTTTGAATTAGTGAATTAAAATTTTTGTTGTCTTCTACAAGTTTAATTCAGAATTCTGACTACACTAGATACTTTTTGTATGTCACATGTATATACTTAGATGTAGTAAAAATTTGGTTTTTCTTTTTTCCGAGACTCCCGCAGTTGCAATAAACAAGTTCATGCTAGCCTGCTGTCAGGAAAGGCAGAGTGTTTCGCAACATTCTCTAGTGAAGAGAGACAGTAAAGGGGAGACATTTACTTTCGTGGATGCTGGGAGGGTTCAGGTCTTATTTACTCAGTAACAACTTATTCTACAACTGTTAACTCTCCAATTGTCACGTTTTAAAAAGCATTTGAAGTTCATTTCCCTTTCAACACCGTGGATAGAGGTTATTAAGAGTTACTGGAAATGCCTGGGTAACCATTGCCATTTGGGGTGGGGGTGGGGGTAATAAGACGGTGATTGAATTAAAGCAATGTTTATAAAATTTTATGAGAAACATGCTTTTGAAGACATTGATGAGAAAATTGCCATGAGAAATAATCTGTCCATACACTAACCGCTACCATTCTCGTTCTGTTGGCTCCGCAAGGGATTTTGTTTTCCTTAAACTATCATAGATAAGAGGTTTGATCAATAAATGGATTGATCACTATTTAAGGTCTTAGCTCAGTGGGGCCATTTACATGTTTTGAACATTTTATTATGGAGAGTTAGGCAGACAGCAAAGTTGAAAGAATTTTGCATTGAACACATGTGTACCCACCATTTAGCTCCTCCCATTAGCATTTTACTATACTTTATCACACAGCGATCTAGCCAGCGCTCCATCCTGTCATTCACATGCGTGATTCTTAGTACTCTCAAGAGCTTTTCTGGACTATCATGGAAGCTAATTTGTATCCTGAATTGGTGAATGAGAAAGTGATGAAGACTTAGGCTTGTGATCAAGTGGAGTTCTGATCCTAACTGCACCTGAATCACAGTATCTTACTCATGGTCCTTTGATTTTAACATTACTCGCAGAGTTAGTACAATCGTGATTGAGAGTCCTCAGTTGCCAACTGTCTTGATGGTGTGATGCTGATTGGGTATGTTGATAGTTGCCGTCACAAGTGTTGTTTCACATGAGACTTACTCTGCATGTCTCTCCTGCTTAGGAGTAGCCCACCGAAGCCAGAGCAGTGAAGGAGTCAGTTCTCTCAGTAGCTCACCCTCCAACAGCCTTGAAACGCAGTCGCAGTCTCTCTCACGCTCCCAGAGCATGGACATCGATGGTGTCTCTTGTGAGAAAAGGTAACGTGGAATCACTTTTCCAATACACTGTTTTATTCATGGAAAGGAAAAGGTCCATATACTTCTGTCATTAGTCCAGAGACCCACACCACAGTCACTAGCAAATGAGAGCTCAGTTGGCTAAATTTAAAGGTCTTTATAGTATTCTAAAATGTTTTCATGCCTATTGTTTGTTTTTGGCATTGAAATGTCTTTAATGGAGTATGGTATGGGTGGTGAAAGCTTTTAAAAAATGTCTGTTTCATAAATACAAGGTTAGCAAGTATATGCCAGTCTCTAAAAATTTCTTCAAAGTTTAAATGATGAGTGAAATGAAAAGTTTGGAGAGGTTCAGACAGGTAAGCCTAACGCCCTAGGCACTCCATTAGGATGAGGGCATCGGGGAGCAGAGCCTACCTGTGTTGCAGGTGTGCTGTGAGCGGTGACAGAGGTGCTGAGGCGTCCTTTCTTTCTGCTCTGCCCTCAAGCAGCCCTCTTTTAGGTCCATGGGCTGGGCCAGTATTGCCTATACGTGTCAAAATGTAAAAAAGCTTGAGAACCTCTGGTTGGTTTAGAACCTCAGCACTTGGTGGGACTGCATTGAGGATCCAGAGCAGAGCTCATTCTCTATTAAGCAAGAATTTAGGAAGGACTATACTCTAAGGGCAAAGATAGGTAGAAAAAAACCTACCCTGGGTTCTTATTACTGCTTCAAGTGGATGTATTTTAACAACAATTGAGTCAACTCTGAGAGTTCATGGCCAGACAGTGGATTTGAGAGCTAGATTTATACTATTAGCAGAGCCAAAAGAAACCTTCATCTAAGAACTATCATCTCCAGTGGGTCTGGAACTGTAGTATCAGTATCTTTACATACCAAGCAGGAATAAGCACAAAGCACCCAAGTCTTCAGAGAACTTTTTTAGAAAAATCTCTTAAGAAGTAGGAACTCATAATCAAATCCACAAAACACACATTAGAAAAAGCCACCATGACTGAGAGTCAGCAGAGTCAGTAACTACCAAATTTTTCACCTAGATATTTGGTGGTTTTGGCATTCCTATACAGAGTACAATGTGCTCGACTGTAGACTATAACTGTTTAAGTAAGTTAAAAAGACATGAATAAGGGACAAGTGATTATAAAAGCAGACAAGCACTTTGAAAAGAATCAAGTAGAATTTCTAGATATGAAAACACAATTCAAACCAAAAACTCAATCTAAGTGTGAAAAAGTGGCCTAGACATAGCTGAAGAGAAAACTAACAAACTGAATGATAGAGCCGAAGAAATAACCCAGAGGACACCACAAGGAGAAAAACAGATAAGAGATGTGAAGAATGTTTAGGGCAATAAAAGACACAGCTCTAATATATAATAGATATATCAAAGGGAGAGAATGTAGAGATTTCTCCTTATTCCAATGTACTTTCCTCCTTATTTCATAGCTTATACTATACTGGTTTATCAGAAAGATAAATGATGGAGAATGTTTCCAGAGTTGATAAATGAAATGAAACCTCAGATTCAGGAGGTCCCGGGTTAAACAAGGGAACATTCATATCTAGATATTTTGTGGTAAAATTGGAGAACATCAAAGACAAAGAAACTTAAAGCAGCCAAAGAAAAAAAGGAGATGATCCACAAAAGGACAACAGTTAGCTGTCTCAATGATGGAAGTCAAAGGGTGATGCAATCATAGCACTAAGTGCTTAAATTAAAAACCCAAACTATCAACAGCACCTGTGTACCAATGTGGCTCTATTACTATCTTGTAAGAGCCAAGCTGAAGTAAAGACATTTACAAATTAAGACAACAAAAAGCCCAGCCTGATCATCGGCCACCAGGCCACCAGAAGACTCCAACATTTAGCAAACACAGAAGGAAAATGATCTCAGGACTCATGTCTGAGTTGCAAGGAGGAGGAAGAGTGAAGCTAATTATAGACATGTGGTAAATCCAAACACTGATGGAATAAGACAGTAACGAGAGCATACAACACAATTTTGGGATGAGGGGTGAAATCAGAGTTCTAGAATACCGGCCGGCTATTGCAGGGAAGCCAGCGTGCAGGTATGCGAGAAGCTCCGAGGTACTCGTACTGTGGGGGAAGGTAAAGATACTGGCTTACCTTCCGTTGTCTTATTTAGAATACCTGTGAGGTTTCCATTTTAAAGGAATAAGAAGAGTATTACTTCCACAGTAATATACAGTAGGCAGAGGAGGTGGGAAGTTTAAATCAATCCAAAGAAAGGGAAAAAAGAAACACACATTTTAAAAAAGGGACAAGCAGCATAGATAAGAGGGTGAAAAGAAGTCGAATTATGCAACAACAATGGAGTGAAAAAGCACAAGGTGGGTAAGAAGGACCAGAACCCGCTTTCCTTGCTTACAGAAGGCAGGCCTGGAGCACAAGGAAGAGAAGGGGAGAAAGCTTCGGGAGCCAGAAGCACCGAGACCATGTTTTCTGATGTTGGTTGAAATAGATAATTAATGTGGGGGGGGGGCGGGGGAAGCCTTTCAAAATGCTTACACATTTGCAAGTGTTAGTAATGGCACGCTGCTTAGTGTGGTCAAGGAGAAACAAATGAAAATTTGAAAGTATCTAGAACCAAACAACAGCAGATAGTACTGATCAGGATTTCCGTGTCACAAGTAAGGGGCCCCCAGGAGAAAAGCTGAAGCTCTATAATATGTTTCAAGTGAAAAAGAGAGTGGAAATAGCACACTGAAAATCCTTCTGGAACATCACCGCCTGGACTGGGAATCTTTCCTTCTTCCCGCCATGGTGCAGCTCAGCAAGGCACCCCGCACTTCAGGCACAAAGGCCTGTTCTCTGCACCTGTCCCACTCTTCTTCCCTCCCGTTCGCCCACAGCATTTGTCACTTAGCATGCTCCGGGCTTTGCTCTGGGCTTTGCTGATGTGCTCATTGTTTGCTATTGTCCTCACCCTAGGTGAGGTACCCGACATGCAGCTTTTTTCTCTTTTGTTCACTGACACCCCTGACTCCTAAAATGCCCCTGTACAGAAGGGGCACTCCATAATATTTGTTACTGAGAAAGGAAATTCTGTGAAAAATAGAAACATGCAAAGTACAAATAAATTTTAAAAATTCTCCCCAAATTGACTCAAGACGAGAGAACACGAATCATCAAAAACCACAAAACAAATTGAATCAAGTACTGCAACAATGGCCAAGGAAGCACCCTGCTCAGCAATTTTGTAGTTAATTCACCACTTCAGTAATTGAAAAAATAGGAAATGCTGGCTGGCTTCATTTAATAAACAAGGTGAATAGAGCCGTTAAACAATACAAGAATAATTATAAGAGAAGAAAATTAATTACATGGCAATCATATTTGTGAACATGTTGGCCAAAATTTTGAAATTATCAACAAATCAAATACTGCAGTATCTTAAAAACCAAAGCAAAACAGAACATACAAAACTCACCTGTGGAACTAAAGGCAGGGTAGTGCCATGCGGCAGTGATAGGGCCGAAGTAGGATTTGGGGATTGGTATCGCTCTAGTTCTTGATCTGGGTGCAGGTGACATTTGCGTGTTTACTCTGTGAAGGTGGATTGAGACTAATCCGGTGACACATCTATGCACAGTTACATACAGATACTTCAGTTAAAAGTTTAGCGAAAAATAGCACCACCCTGCATAACATGACTCCCTTGAGTTCACCTGAGGAATGCCAGGGTTGTTAACATTACAAAACCTATAAATATCACTTACCGCATTCTGTATTAAAGAGAAAAGTCTTGTAATCTTGATGGTTGCAAAGGTTTGATAAAATTCTGCATCATTTTGTGATAAAAGCCTTAGCAAAAAGGAAACAGAAAGAGCATCCCTAAGCTGACTGTGGCAGAGAGAGAACGCACACACACTCCGGTGCTCCCCTGTGTTTCCAGTCTTCCCTGCAGTTAGAGGGGGACGAGTTCTGTCCAGTAGACTGTGAGTGGCTGTGACACGCGTCACTTCTGGGTGAAGGCAGTTGAGCCGATGTTCCTCCTCCATCCCTCTCTTCTCTTGCTCCAGTGACCTTGGAGGCTGTGTATTGCAGATGGCATAGATTAAAGATGGAGTAAGGATGCTTCACTCTCACCAGACTTTGCGTAAGCAAGAAATAAACCCTTATAGTGTTAAGCCGCTAAGATTTCAGCTATATATGTTTCCACAGCGTAGCCTGTCTTACTCTGACTAATATAAATGACATTTACCAAAAAACAGAAACAGAAAAGGATAGTAACTCGCATATTCAGCGGTGAGAAGTTAGAAACACTTTTAAAAATCAGGACTAGGAATGAGGATGGCTGATCGTTAGGCTTCTGTTCTACTTGGGGCCCCGACCCAGAGTGGCAAAGCAAGTGAAGGTTAGAGTGGGAGAGTCCCATTACTCTCGGGCATGGATGTTGACCTACCCAGTCAACTGTGTAAGTAAACTGACCTCAAGTCAGTGACTTACTATGTACGAGCAACAAAAGAATTAAAAAACTTGTTAAAAAAGGTACCACTCATACTCTCATTTAAAAAATATATGGTACCGGCGTTTAAATTTAGCAAAAGAAGTGCAAGGCTTTCGTGGGGAAAATTATCAAAATTTACCAGAAGACCTTAAAGAAGGTTTAAACACTTGGATGAGATACCATATCCATGGATTGAGACACTCAGTGATAGAATGATGTCTTTTCCCCATGTGACCTCAGAGTCAACTTAGCCAGCGTCCAAACAGAAGTTTTAAGGAAGTTGTAAGCTCATTCTTAGGTGTATGTGGCCTGAGCAAAGGGCCAGACATGGCCAAGACTCTTGAAGTAGAGCAAGGTGGAGGTGCTGATCTTGCAGACACGAGACATTGTGAAGTTTTAGTAAAATAGTGCGGCATTGGCTCAGGAACAGAAAGTTTGTCTGTTGGAACAGACATGAGAATCCAGAAATATAGACCCACACATAGGTGAAAATTGGGCATATGACTTAGAGGATTTCACAGTGTGTAAGAAGGATGGTCTTTCCAGTAAGTGATGGGGGACAGTTATTTCCTTGATATGGGGGAAGAGAGTATATGTACTTAGCCAGATTTTATAATCTGACTCTGGGTGATTACATATTGTTTAAAAATGTATGCATAGAAAATCCCTAATTTTTTTTTCAAAAATGAGCCTAAGAAAATGACAACTTGGGAAAAATATTTCAACAAGTATGGTGTCATGTTTCTATCCTAATATATGAAGCACTCCTAAAAATTAGTATAAAAAATGAACTTCTATCATTTACTTTCCTGATTGACATTGACTCTGGTATTTTAAAACTTTGCCTCGACCAGCAGCTATGACATTAGGTGGATTTATAAAACATGAAACACTTATCTGTCTTTTCTGCCTAAAGCATGTCCCAGGTGGATGTGGATTCAGGAATTGAAAATATGGAAGTTGATGAAAATGATCGAAGAGAAAAAAGGAGCCTCAGCGATAAGGTTGGTAAGAGATGAAGCCCTCGCTTCCATTTTTAGTACAGGTAATATAAACTAGTGCACACCGTTTCATGTCTTGTGTGTTAGAGCCGACTAACCCAAATCCCAAGTAGTGATTTTTTTTTTCTTTTGAGGAAAAATGAGTGGCCTAAATGGCTTTTATTACTGGGACCACAACTTGGTCCTTTTAACTGATAAAATGATTCAGGTTCACCTTTTATCCATTCATTTAATTTGTAATGATTAATTTAGCACTAATTAGAATTTAAAAAAAAAGATTTATTTATGCATAGAAGAACTGTGGTAGAGGCCAGAGGTTGGGGGGGCGTGGTGAGGTTGGGGGTGCATGAGGAGTCCCCAAGAGGCAGCATGGGGAGCAGAACAGGCAGATCTACTGAAACCCACTGCTGAGGGGAGCTGTGGGGAGACAGGAGGGGTCTGCTGCGCCCTGGGGGTCACTCCCTGGCTGGGGATGGAACTCAGATCTTCGCAGTGATAGCACTGAGGCTTAACCCCTAGGCCACCAGGGATCCCTACTTAGAAATTTTTTGTTAAATTCTGTTGCTTTAGCAAGTAGGTCACCTGCCTCTTTGGTAATATTCTGGGGAACGAGTGACTGGGAGCCAAAGTAAGGAATATGTAGAGTCTAGTCACAAATAAACTTTCTGAAAACTTGAGGTCTTTCTATTTTGTGGTTACCCCATATTTAGGGAAAGGTCTGTATATTTATAGACATGTTAATTCCCGGTGTTTAGGAACAGGGTTTTCTCGTGCATCACAATCCCGTGTCATGTTGGCACACGCGTCACTTCCTCTTTGTAAATTACTGGTGCCCAGCAGTGCAGATTGAGTCCTGGGGCCCTGGGAGTGGCCTTCTAATAGGGGACTCTTTTTTTAAAAAAAATCTAGTTATTCAGTGTTTACAAAGAACTCCATATATAACATTTGTGATGGAAAGCCGTGAGAAATATTAAATCATGGAATAATTCTGGAAGGAAAATTGCTTGTAGACCTAAAATTTAACCTGGCCCTTTGGCTCCAGAAAAGGAAATGAATAGGCTCTATGTCGACCTCTGGTCATGTGGCTTCCTTGACATTCCCGACTGTGTCTGGCTCCCGCTTGCTCCCCCGATCGATTGTGGGCCAAGCTCTCGAGCCCTGCCTGTTTTACTCTGATGCCATAGCGACAAGTTAGTCTTTCCTGAGTCACCGGGTGAATAGTTGTATGCACTTCTGAAGTGTCCATGAGTGAAAGGATTAAATCAGAATTAAGTATTTCTACTGAAATCTAACTCGGCCCCCCTTCCGCTTGACACTGACCTCCTCCAAATCTTCTTCCTCACAAGGAGCCTTCATCAGGTGCTGAAGTGTCAGAAGAACAGGCCTTACAGCTGGTCTGTAAGATCTTTCGTGTCTCCTGGAAGGACCGGGACAGAGATGTGATCTTTCTTTCTTCTCTTTCCGCACAATTTAAACAGAATCCAAAAGAAGGTAGGAATCACTGTCTATTCGCAGGGCACTTAAGAGAAGAGGCCTGCTGCCCCCCACCCACAGCCACGCTGTCCTGCTTTGGTTGGGGTTGTATTTTGTGTTTAGGGCTTCTTCTTGGTGAGGACACTGCTCTCTGGCCACTTTCCACCTATTTATGGGTAAAATTATTTCTTTTGTGATTTCTAGAAAACCGTGTAAATAAGTTAACAGTCTCCCTAGTGCCATGGTGGAAGCTTTTTCCTTTGCAGTAAGACAGTGCCTAGAAAGAGCTTTGGTTTTTCTCACCAAGGAGAAGTCCTGGGCAGTCCCGGGGAGCTGTGGAGGTGCAGTCTGACCTGCACCTGCTTCGTGATCCCACCAGGTTGCATGTAGGCAGTGGAGTGAACCTGTTTGCTGAGTTCCCTAGCAAGACTACGTGCTGTCATTTTGCTGGCTTCCCGGGTTTCTGTTTGAGAGGCCACATGAAGCCACAATCACAAGGAGCGGAACACTCAGCTGCACCCAGCATCCCAGGGCACTGTCACTGGGAGTCCAGGGGAGGTGGGCAGGGATGCCGGAGGGGCCTGCAGACAGCAGGGGTCTTGTCGATGTGCAGGGAAGGTGCCTGCACCTGGTAGTCCCTCTGCAGATGAATCTTAAATGAAAGCTGTGAAGATCTGGGGTTGCCTTTTGATTCCGGTGGTCCCTTCTCCCAGGGCAAAAAAAAAAAAGTCCCGTGATCCTTCTGGATGGATCGGCCCCTTCTGCTTTGGCGGGTTCTGGCTGACGCTGTGTCTGGACACAGGCCCAGACCCTGTGTGTCCAGTCCCTCCGCTCGTTATTCTTTCTTTCTCAAGAGTCCTAGCCGCGTATCATAAAGCTAAGAGAAGGATGGTTTGAATCTGGAAGACAAAAGCTTAAGAAATAGCCCAGTGACTCAGCCACATGTTAAATGAATGCATGTATTTGGGTCTATTTCTGAACTCCGTTCTGTCCCACTGACTTATCACTGGACTTTTTATAAAAATTAAGTTTCAAGCCCGTCTTGCAGATACAGATGCTATTTGTTAAGAACCAAATCAGACAAGATTACAGGGGCTAGAGCTCTGAGTTTATGTGATGATATGGAAAGTGGTGAAGCCTGTGGGGCCCCCTCAGGAACTGCAAGGAAGGGAGGAGACTGGAATGTAGGTGCCGACTGACCCAGACGCTTCATGCAGTGTTCTGAGCCGTGTAATTAATAGTCCGCTTCATGGAAGACGTGTAGACTAGCAAGCCTTGAAGTGCTTGCATTCTGAGTCTGGTGAAACTACTGTTCAGAATTGTTTCTCCCTACACTTCTGCACTGCCTTCAATTTTTTTGTTGGTTTTAGTTTTAGTTTTAGTTTTTTTTTTTTTAAAGATTTACTTATTTATACAAAAAAGAGCTGGGGTACAGGCCAGAGGTGCAGTGGATGAGAGGATTCACCAGAGACAGAAAGGGAGCAGAACAGGTGGACCCAGAAATATACTGCCGAGGGGAGCCAGGGGAGGTCTGCTGTGGGTCAGCTCCCTGGCAGAGGCTGGAACTCAGGCCAAAGTGGTGATGGCCTGAGACTTAACCCCTAAGCCTCCAGGGGGCTCCACTTTTTTGTATTTAGAATGTTGGATTCACAGAAACCTTTGCAATACCGCAGGGCATTCCTCCACAGCTTCACCCCTCCCCCAATTTGACATCTCACATTATCACTGTATATTTGTCACACCTCAGAAACTGCTGTTCTGTGCTCCAGACCTGATTTACTCCAGTTTCGCCAGGTTTTCCACCAGTGTCCGTTTCCTTCTGGACCCGACTAGGTGGGCCTCGGCTCTCCATGGCTCCGTCGGGGCTGCCGAGGGCTGTGCACCAAGAGCCCTGCGTCACGTCTCCTCTGTTCTGTCTTCCCCGCAGTGTTCTCTGATTTCAAGGACTTGATTGGCCAGATTTTAATGGAAGTGCTAATGATGTCCACTCAGACTAGAGACGAAAACCCGTTCGCCAGCCTGACGGCCACGTCACAGCCCATCACCGCGGCAGCTCGGTCGCCAGACAGAAACCTGCTCCACCCCGGCTCCCACGCAGGAACGAGTCCCATGTTCTGCAGCGTGGGCTCCTTCGGAGCCGGCTCTCTGTCCAGGTGAGCGCGGCCCTCGCTCACCTCAGCGGCAGCCCAGTCGCCGCGAAGTGTGTGAGAGAGGGAGCTTCATCCGCGTCACGCCCTTCGCGTCGCGGGGTCACATCTGGGGCGAGGACTTAGGCGCTGGGGGTGTCGTCTTTTCCAGACGGGCCGGGCCGTCTGTGGTGGTGGTGCTGGTGAGCTGCTTTTAGAGCCCCAGGGCGGGACGTGTGCGCTTCCCCGGGGAGCGGCTTTGCCTGCGGCGGTGGAGCCTCTAGCTGAGTGCCGCTGCATCTCGACTGTGGTTGCTCAGTGCCTGAAAGATGTGGCCGCCTAGCCCTGAGATGGGACACGCTAACTACACTGTTCTTCAAAAGCTTGATGTTTTGACTTTAGTTGTTTGCCTCAACGTTTCCTTCAATTTTCTCTTCTTTCTTCCTTCTCTCAACCAATTTAGCCTCTATGAAACGAGCCCAGCTCCCCACGCGAGTCTCTGGAGCTCGGTGCCCGTGAGGAGCCCACCGCTGGCCTCCCCGCCCCACGCGGCCAGCCAGGCGGCGGTGCCTTCTCTGGCCCTGGGCCCCCACAGCGGGGCTCCTGGGGCCGCCGCCGGCAGCCAGCCCCCCTCTCCACGGTATCGCCCGTACACGGTCGCCCACCCCTGGGGGCCTTCAGCGTCTCCCAGCCCGCGCTCCGCAGGCCTCCCCGTGCTGTCCGGCTCGCCCAGCCTGCCCGCCCTCACTAGTGGTCCTCAAGCAGTGCCTGCCCGCTCCTCCAGGACGCGAGCCGCCAGCACGGGGCCCCCCCTCCTGTCCGCCTCACCCGGTGCCGTGGGCCAGCGGCCCTCCCCGAGGGTTTCTCCTAGGTACTTACTCAGGGGGGCGGCTGGGGCCTGTGGGCAGCGCGGGGAGAGGCGGTCAGCTCTCAGTGGGGGACTCCCGCGGCGCCGGCCTGGGCACAGGCGCTTTCTGTCCAGTCGTGGCGCGTGGCAGGGAGTCTGCAGGCTCCCGCCGGCTGGGTGGCTGCGGAGAGGACAGGCGGCTCTGTCCCCACACCTCCCGCCCCTCCTCTGCCCCCTGCCTCCTCCTGTACAACACAAGGAGGAATACCTTCGTGTCTGGAAGCTGGGTCACGTGCCGTTCCTCACGGCAGGTGCGCTGCAGCGGCGGAGGGCGGCTCACATTTCAGAGTTGGGGCTCCCACAGTCTCCTTTTGGCTTTCTGTGCTGAGCTCGAGCCTGGCCAAAGGGCTGCGGGAGCGAATCCAGGCCCAGTGCCATGACCTCTGGTCCCGGGGGCAGCGGGCCCCCCTCCCAGCTCTGACCCCAGTCTCCTCGAAAGAAGACAGTGTCCCTTCACTCAGGTGTCTCCCCATCTGTGTACTCGAGGGGGCTTCTCCCTGCATGTGAGTGGGCAAAGCGTGTAGCAGAAGGAGCTGACGGGTCCCCTCTGTCCCTGACGACCTTTTCTGCTTCTGTTGCGGTAGTACGTACGACAGCCCTTTCTCCTTCCTCTTCTTCGCACTCTCTGGGGACAGTAGTGATGAAGATGAAGAAGATGAGGAGGAGGAGGATGGTGATGATGAAGGAGGTGGTGGTGGTGATGAGTTTTCTTGTGTCCAGTTTGGGTCCAGGTATCGGAGCAATGGCGGCTCAGCCCTGCATGCGCCTAGGTGCTGAGGGACTAACTCGTGAGCCCTAACGAGGGGTGTGCTTTGCAGCCAAGGGGTGTGGAGTGCAGTGAGGCACCTAGCGGCCAGGGTGTGAGACCTCGCATGCACGGAAGTAGCAGGTCCTGCCCGCGGGAGGGTAGCACACGGGAAAAGATGCACCGCCACCTGCCAGGCTGGGGGGAGACCCTGTAGAAACACCAACAAGAGATTAAACACTACTCAGCAGTCAGTTCTCCCACCCCAGGGACTGGATGAGGCGCCCTCGTGAGCGCCTCTGTGAGCCCCATGTTCCTGGGGGCGTGGCGCGTGGGTGGCCGCTGCCTAGGAAGGGGAGGGGGCATGTGCCCCTCTGGTCACCTTGAATTTTGTGAATCATCTCCTGGGCCCAGGGAACTGGGCCCTCCGTCCAGACAGCCTTCGGAGCGGGGGCAGAGGCTAAACCAGTTTGTGATGTCATTAACCATTCAGCCCCAAAAGGCGAGTGATAGACAGCCTGGTGTTTCGAAGTGACTTTGAGCAAGAAAACCTAAGAGCACCTTCTCTCTGACCGCTGACTCATTGTCTTACAGTCTGGCTCTTAAAGCGAGCTTTCCTCAGGACGGAGTTGGTATTTGTGCCTAGCACTATTCAAAAATAACTCCCAGCTATAAATAGAGATGCCAGGAGGAGTTAGGTGCCTCGTCAGGTGACGGCGCTCGGAACATGGGGAGAATGTGTGCGTCGAGAGGAGGAAGTTGGCGCGAGGCTGACTGTTTACGTGGGAAGGTGGCTGCTTGTGCTGGCTCAAGCACTAGGTCCCGTTTTCCAGTCAGGGGACGAGTGTCCACCCGGGCCGCTAAGTCCTAGTGTGTGATTACAGCATCGGCAGCGTCCTTGTCAGCCATCAGCCCCCATGCACGGGAGAGCACTTGGTGTCTGTTTTACTGTAAACCAGCTGCAAGCAAAATGTCCCCTTCGGTGGCTTGTTTCATTCCACCTTCCTCTAACAACGAAGATCACAGTAGGTCCTGCTTTTGCCAGCGCTCCTCTCTCGACACCTAAAAACCCCGCCTTCTAGATCCTGTCCCTGCCAGGGGAGACAGGACTCCCTGATTGTGAAATACGAGCTGCAGAGAAGCCTGAGCACTCCGGGCCTGGCACGGGGCAGCAGCCTGCAGACACTGGCCCTGCCGCCTCCCCGTCCCGCTCCCCGAGCTCAGTCCCCGTGGGGGTCAGTTCCCTAGCTCTTGCTCAGCAGGGCCTGTGTGGCGCCCAGTGTCTCCCTGCCACGTTGTGCCACTAGGACTTGTGTGGCTCCCCTCCCCCACTGGCGATTGCCCTGCTGAGCATTTATGCCCTACTCTGTCCCTTGGCGAGTAAGTGCCAGCCTTTTACTTCCCATCACAAAATCCTGTGCCAGTCCCTTGGCATGTCCTTTGCGAAAAGTGAAAGTGAAATCTCATTGGTCCAGATTTTAGAAACTTAGAGATTCTATTCACAGATCTTAAAAAGAATGCAAAAGGATGGGTAAAATAGCTGACTAAGCAGATGGAATGTCTCAGCGTTGCATGTGAGGTCAGGATGGGGATGAGATAGATTGTTGAATTGAGCAAATAAATAGCGCTTCCTTTCCCTTTTGCATTTGACCTTCTCAGAATTCCATTTGCTTAGACCTAAGCAATTTTAACATCTACTTCTTGCCTGGTAAAATCGGTGTCGTAGAAGAAAGATCCGACAGGCCGTACCTGTCTCCTCAGGTTTTACCCAGTGAACTCAGTGATTGCAGGTCTTTCTGGAAGTGGTTGGGCACACATTCTTATGTTACTTCTTAGTGGTGACAGTAAGGATTAATTTAAGAAAGGCAAAACAGTCCTTTGATAATGTCTTGAAGTCCTTTGTAAAAAGAGCTGTGTGGATTAAAAGGAACTGCCTCTTACAGGAACAGGGTGAGTAAAGTGAGGCGGCTTCCTTGTGATGAACACAGGAGTTATTCTGAGGCACTTCTTCTAATTGTGTCCTAGGAAATTGATGTCTAGAAGAAATTTGCGTTTTGTTTTTTTCTTATTTTTGTTAACTGCTTAGCTATTTCAGTAATAGGGCCAATTCTTGGAATACATACACCTACATGAAGAGAGCAAGGAGAAAACTTACAGAGAAAACGTTAACCTTTACTCTGTTCCTTCTGCTGCCTGTCACTCTGTGCACACAAAACATGAACGTAACTGAAAAGAACTCTCCCACACCTCTGACCCTGGCCTGTGAGCGGCATCCCACATCTCTCTCTCTCTCTCACACACACACACACACACGCACACACACGCACACACGCACACTCACAGTTACACACTCGCTCACTCACACCCACTCTCACATACTCACATACACACTCACAGACTCGCACACACACTCACACTCACTCTCACACACACTCTCAAACACACACACACACTCACAGACACGCACTCACTCATACTCACACTCACACACACTCCACTCCCTCCAGAACCCCTCCCCCACATTTGCCTGTGTCCTCCACCTCAAACACTCCATCCCATCCTGGGACCACCAGCTTGCACCCCACCCCCTGGCCCCATTCACACTTGTTTCCTTTCAGGTCAGCCTCCCCGAGAGCCATGGGGGCCACCCGCTGATGCCCTCAGGTGTGTGTGTGATGGCCCCTTACCTGCGGGGCTCCCTGACCCCGCTGCATTAAACCTAACATTCAGTCTCGGTCCCCTCACTCTGCCTTTACTGTCCTTCATAGCACTTTCACGTTGTTTTTGATGCTTGCCCACTGGGATGTACTTGTCACGTGAGTGAGGTTGCGCTCTGTGTGGTTCGCTGTGCTGCCCGCAGGACCTCCAGCCTGGAACACAGAGGGCGCGGCACGCTCTCTCAGTCAGTGGATTTACGGAGCTTAAGCCAGCACAGTTCTGGCTTTGCCTCACACTGAGAAGATGTAGAATCCCAGAGTGTGCACCCAAAAATGGGCAAATAAGAGGGTGATTATCCCCATTACTGAGGAAAGGAAACTGCATTGGGACTGTTTAAGGAGTACATTTCCTCGTGCCCTAAATGTGGATTCACTGTGCAGTGTGCCGACCCCGGAATATCTTCATTGTGTTTTCAGGAGGGTCCCTCTGTATGCTCATTGTGGGAAGTGATTCTCATCAACGGCCAGTGCTGTTGTTTGGGATTCATGCACATATTCTACCCAAGGGTGGTACAGTTTTTAGATACCCTTAGGACTTAGGCGGTTTCAGTGCCCCTTGGCTCAGTGGTAAAAGCAGCATGAATTTGGTGTAATTTTTTTAAGGAAAGAAAAGAAATGTTATTTTAAAGCAGGTAAGCGACTACCACTGGCACAGACATGCATAGAAGCTGTGCGCTCCTCCGCCCCACATCACCTTCGCTTTACAGCTGAGACCTGACAAGTCAGTGTGGCCTGGGGCCTTGCTGGCCACCCTGCTCGCCAGAGCAGCTCTTCAGAAACTTACACGCCATTTCCTATTTGGCCAACTTGTGCTTCTTTCCCACCCCCCACACCTATC